TAACCGTGAGTTCACCCAGCCTCCACGTTCAGAGCCCAGCAAGCTATACGTGGGTGTCAAAGTGCAAAACACAGTAAAAAATAGGCCTCATTCCCCTGACATCGAAAGAGACCCCAATTTCGCAACGTTGGGTAGAACGAGTACGGAGAGGCTGCTAAAATTTCTAAACCAGGAATTTCAGGTATGAATTTCAGGAAAATTTCAGCAATGGAAGCTACCTAGATCACGAAGAACTAAGGTGACGATCTGTATCTACAATGCACTTACAAGTGATTTTGTTCGTATTTTTGTTGAGCAAACGCGAGGTGTTATTATTCTTTGTTCACGATTAAGCTGACGTTTCGGCGGATTTCGCCTTCTTCAGAGCCGCTTTCTATGAGGTCTTACACTTGCATCCGAGTTTTCGATAGAAGACTTGCTCATGCAAGCAAGAAGGATAGGGTACGACGTCATCGGCCTGGCCGAAACGAGAAGATGCCACCCATTCAACTCCGTCTAGAACACCGGAGAAGAACTGTTCCACGAAACATGCAACAGTAGAGGAGACGGCGGCGACGGCGTTCTCGTCAACACGAGTTTATCCATGAACATTGATTCAATCGAACAACTAACAACCCGAATCGGACGTTTACGATTAAAAAAACGTGGATCAATTCCAGTTTTAACAACCTTCGTTGTTTACGCGCCAACATTAAACTATGACGAAGCAAAAGTCGAAGCGTTCTGTGTGGACTTAGAGAAGTTCTACAGAGAAGACCACACATTCTTCAAGGTCATATTTCAACGCCAAGATTGGACCAAGATGAACGTCTGAAGAACGTCGCATTGGGACCCACAGATTAGAATGCAACGAACAAGGTAAGCGGCTATCTAAGTTTTTCATGGCGGCGAAGACCATCCGTGAAAACTCGCAATTCTAGAAGCCCCACTCTCAACGCTGGACGTGGGAGTCTCACAATGGAGAGTACCATAACGAAATAGACCACATCATAGCAAATAGAAGGTTTTACCTAACCGATGTCGCTGCTGTCCCAAAATTCTACACGGGATCCGATCACCGCCTCCTTCGTGCAAGATTCTATTTTTCGCGGAAAGGAGAAAAGGCTGCTAAATTCAAAAACCGAAGCCCAGAACCACCATAAACTGGAACTTATTCAATTCGTTAGTTGGGTTTTGGAAAAATGCCATTGCCAATAACACCGACGAAGAATACGATCGGCTCATTCAACATCTTCATGTTATCGCTATGAAAGCTGAGAGCTCGAAAGTCACCAAAAGACCTCTACCTCGAGAAACACTTGAGCTGACACACCAGCGTGGAATCGCGCGTGCTTAAGAAAACCGCGATCTAACGTCCGAACTTGCAAAACAGTGCAGAAAGGCGATAAAAGAAGATCCTAAAGAGAGAGGAGCAGCAGTAATTGTCGAAGCTTCAGAGGCTGGAAAAAGCATTCGCAAAGCCCACCGAACCTTCACCAATTACAAGACCAAGACGATTGCACTCCGGTTCCCAGACGGAACACTTACAGCGTCCAGAAAGACAAAGGAGAAAATCATTCACGAATACTACTCGGAGCTCTTCAATAGCAATATCCAGCATCAGTCATATGAAATAAAGGAGGATGGTTATGATGTACCATGGCTTCTCCCTTTCGAAATCCGACATGCCATTTCGTCGGTGAACAATCGAACAGGTCCAAGTCTGTACATGATAAGATCTGAACACCTGTATAAGCTTCCGCCAGCTCTCGTGAACACACTGGCTTGTCTCTTCACACGTCACCAGCCTGAGTGCAAGGCCCTAATCAGTGGAAGAGCATCAAAACCATGTTATTGTTCAAGGTTGACCCACACGATATCAGTAATTGTCGCCCAATGTTTTTGTTGTCTGTCGTCTACAAACATTTCACTTAAGTCATCCTAAACAGGATTGACAGAACACTGGACGAAGGACAGCCATTTGAGCAAGCAGGGTTTTGAACAGGATTTAGTACGATGGACCACATCCACACGGTAACACGGCTCATTGAAGTACTGCGAGAGTACAAAGGACCGCTATGTCTCACTTTCATCGATTTGTAGAAGGCCTTGATTCAGTTGAGATACAAACAGTCTTGGAAGCCCTTGAAAGTCAAGGAGTCCCTACTGAGTACATAAAGATTCTCTGTGAGCTGCATAAAAATTTCACAACCAAGATATTCCACAATGATATTAACATTGACGTCAAAAGGGGCTTAGGCAAAGTGATACCATCTCGCCAAAATTTTTACCGTCACCATCCAGAACCTCCTGCGAACATTGGAATGGGATAATATGGGAGTGAAAATCGACGGTCGGCAGATACACCATCTTCGCTTTGCTGATGACATCGTCCTTATAACACCAAACATTAGCTAAGCGGAACGTATGATTGCCGACTTTGATAAAGTCTCTGGAAAGATTGGTCTTCGACTAAATCTCACAAAACCGATGTTCATGAAGAACGGGTTGGTTTCGCATGCCCAGTTCACGCTCGACGGAACGAATACCTGCGAATGCTCTAGTTATGTCTATCTAGGTCAGGAAATCAACATGTTGAACGACTTAGCTCCAGATTTGAGCAAAAGGAAACGAGCGGCTTGGGAAGCTTTCAAGAGCATCGAGGATGTAGTCACGAGAGCAAAGAACACCCGACTTCGTGTCTACCTTTTCGACTCGACGGTACTTCCTGCGTTAACGTATGCGTCAGAAACCTGGTCGCTGCGTAAGCAGGATAAAAGGTCACTCAGCGTTATCGAACGCGCAGTCGAAAGGACGATTCTAGGACTATCCCGTGTCACGCAACTAAGAGAAGGGTTCCGAAGCTCCGATCTGCACTAACGATCAAAATCGATCAAGATGTCATAGCGAAACACAGATGGGCCGATTATATGAGGAGAAGAACAGGCGACAAATGAACGAAAGGACTCTCGAGTACTTCTCCACGGATATGCAAGTGTCCAGGTGAATGGACGCCTAAACGTTGAGTGGATGTCCTGGCAACTAAAGTCAAAGAGCTGCACTAGAATCTCAGTTGTCTTAAGGATGTCGGTATCAGGCTCGCAGAAGTTATTATGCTCGATCTGCTCGATCCAAAACAATAGGACGGACCACAAGCAACTGCGAGGCAAAGAAGTGAATTGAAAACGTATTAGGGTCCGCGCAGCTCATGAAGACGGGTAGTCCAACAATCCAGTAAGTGCGAAAGTCTATTCAACCAATGAATATTGAATCCATACTAAATTTTATGTTATTCAACCTATAGATACGGATTCGTCATCTCAGCAACATTAGCAAAGTGGAGAATATCGGCACCTTCATCCAGAAGCTAAATATAATATCTGTCATTTTGCTGCTCTCTCAGAAGCGTTTTTGTAACGTCCAATATCCTTCCAGCATGAAAGAACCATGGTCTACCGATGATAACTTGGAAGTGCTAAAAAAGACGCGTTGCAATGCCATGAAGAAAAGCCATGTTTCTATTTTACCGTTTATCACTTCGATGGAAAATGCTCTGAGCCGTCAGCACTCATCGCAAAAAACAGTCATTCGATTTTGTAATAGTTCCCAGGATCGAATTTCTATTAACCTCGGCACTGGAATATGAATGTGTCGTTTTCTTGTTCAGCAATCGCGAGGTCTTTAAACAGCATACATTTACTTCCATAGAAAAACAATACGATACAACACTAGCTAACGTTTCGGCAGTATCGCCTTCTTCATAGCCATTATGATCAGCTGTGTAAACGGGTGGTGTGGTGGTGAAGTGCGCTACTCCCCGATAAGGACAATAGTGCGTTCGTTCCCTACCGCATACACCTGCGCTCCGGAGTTTTGCAAATATCTCAGCATCACTGAAGTTAAATGTATGCTGTCTAAAAGCCTCGCGATTGCTGAACAAGAAAACGACGCAGTCATTCGATTGTTAAGTATCAGGAAACACAGCCATACATACGTGTTTGAAATCAGAAATTCGTACTGACGTAGCTAAGTTTCATTTGGGTATCCCTAGGCCAAGACTAAGCAGGTTTTTCTCCATTCGTAAATATCCAGCTAGCGAAACAAAAGTTTGCTTAGTGCTATTCAGTGATAAACGAGGCTGATCAATGTTGAAGAATTTAGGCAAAATATTGTGTATGTCTTTAAAAAATTCAAATCTGGCACGTAACATCTGCAGATATCAAAAGAAAGTAAAGGCCATGCAAGTTTTTATGCCACTTGTTAGAAAAAGTGACAAAGAGTGATATTTGACATAACATTAGAATAAATTTATTTAGAATACAACTACTGAAACGATTTGGCGAATCCAATTCTCTTCTTTCCAATATCGTATACATTGCAGAACTGACGAATGAACGGATCGCCGAGGATCCACGATGGTCCGAAACCAGAGCTAGGCATTCCAAATATGGTGAAAAGGCACTGACCATTACCTGCCGGCACAACAAGATTTTTCGCATCAATAGTATATCCGTTCCGGCCAATGGCCAACGTGAGTGAAGGTCTGGCACGGCAGTCGATGAAGTACACACCATTTTCTGGGTCATACTGTAATAAATTTAAAAGAATGCTGAGTTACAAAGGAATTTTTAAGAAAAATTAAGGGATTAAACAAATATTTGAATTAATTAATAAGCGGAAACATTAAAGAAGCATATTCCTTTTACATTCTGTAACATACAAAATTTTACGAATTTTATAGAAGGTCATAGTACTGGTAAGTAACAGTGCTCTAATTTACTACAGCATAGGTTGATTGAGCTAAAATGCGAGGAAATCTTTGAAAACCACTCGAGGAAGAAAATTTAAAAGCGATTGCAAAAATTCGTGCATTGTTGAGAAATGATCAAAGTGTATGGTAAGGAGCGTTGTTTGAGAAAATCTGATTGTTCAAAAACGTAACTGACGTATAAACGTTGATGACTTCGTAATGGTTAGCGGAGATTTTAAGTGAAAGCATAATATACATAGAAATACTAGTGTTACAATCTTACCATTGCTCCGTTCTCTCTTGCAAGCGACTGTGCAACAGAACTAGGAGCACCGATGAATGAAGTGCCTGTGTCGGATATCACTTGCCAGTTAGCTGCCGCCTTGTAGGTGCCGGATTTCACGCCCGTCATCTAAATTACTAAGTGTAATTCAATATAAAAATGATATTTCAGTGGTGTGAGTAATAACTGTGACAGCACCATAAAAGCAATCTGATAAGATTAAGATATTTGGTAAGATATGAGATATGTATATATAAGATATATATAATATATAGAGACATATATACGATATACAGAATCACGTTTGCTTGAGTAGCGCCTTATTTTGCACCGAATATCCAACAAAATGCTAGCAATATAGTGTGCGGCAAAAACTAGTGGCTTTTGGATATTACAGCTTAGCCATTTGATTCAGTCACGCATCGTTTTATCATTTTTGCCAACTGGATAGCGCTTCAAATCACCATGTCCGAAAACAAAGTGGAGCGTACTGAAATAGTGTTGTAACCCTCAATATTTCATCATCTCATTGCTGATCTGATACTCCGTGGTGTCATATATCAACTTGGATCCCCACCACAGGACAAGTTAATCACTGGAGATCGAAATCGTCTAAAGGTACATTTGTAGACCCAGCGCATCCCTATAAAGCAAAGCATTGCCTTCACAACACCTTCACTGCTCCACTTTTCTGCTTCTTCTCTAGTAAATCCGATTACCGTTCTCAAGAAAAATCCGCAGACTGGAGAAAACATGTTGTCGTCCAGGAAAAGTATATGGCATATGACAGACCATTCTGGACGAAATGCTTTCCTTTGGAAATAACAGAATAGGGAACATCACACAGCTGTAGGTGAATGTTCAGCTGCGTTTGGATTGCACACCAATTACAAAGGGTTCCCGAGAAACGAACAAATAACTGAAAGTGGATCCAACTTAAAAACGCCTAATACGACTAATACTGAATGAAAGGTTCAGAAGATCAGAAGTCACAGGAGCATACGCAATGAGATGGTAGATTTAATGCGCAAATACATTATTTGTTGGGCACATGAACAATACACAGTAAGTTGGTCTTACTGAAAACTACTGTTCAGCTTACTGCGATGTCTATAGGAAGCTTGAACTTGTCCCCAAAAAACAGGCCTGACGTTCATTATCGTAAAGAGAGGCAGCACTCTTAAATATAACTAATTTCATGGCAGAACTCCAATATGTTTGCCTTTCCAAATGTTCACTACATGAAGAGTTTTTCATAATTCCTCCTTGTTAAGAGTGAATTAAGACAAACCGAAAACTGCCAGTATGTGGCCGACGAAAGATCTTCGTAAGCAATGATGGGTCCACAGTTTGTCTTGTCGATTCCACCATATGTATACACTCCGCCGTTGACGTTTGACTGCTCTTCAAGTTAAAAAATGTGAATTATATTTAAAATAATTATGGTTAGTTTTCCACCATAAAAACCTTTTGGCAAAAAATAACTTTATTAGCCACTAAAACGCTTTTTATATTTACCCAAGTGTTCCTACGACAATCAACGGACCTGTGTTATGCTTCAGATATACGGTAAACAGAGGCTGTTCGACTAGACCTAGTTCTATTGCACGTTGAAACGGAGGTGTGACATCATCCACTGCAAGGCTCTTGAAAGCCAGTCCAAGAATTCCATCAACTGGTAACTAAATTGTGCGGAAATATTCTGGGAGTTACTGTTTACGTAGCAACGACTTTTTGCTAACCTCGGCACTGATTGATAATTCGATGTTTTTCTTCAATAAACAGACACGAGGCTGTTATTACAATAACAACCTCGTGTCTGCTTATTGAAGAAAAACATTGGATTACTTCTTAGATTCAAGGTACCCATAATCGTATTGACTTGCACCTGCTTTTTAGTTCTGATATTTTCTACAAGAATTTCAGAAATTTTGCAACAGTACCCCATCGAAGGACGGCGATAGTACGTCTGCTTGGGCGAATACAGTGTTAGGTATCACTAGTTGCTGCGTTCCTGGTGAGCCGATACGCACAATATCTTTACCAAGATAACCAGATGCCATGCCGGAACCATACTAAAATAAAAGTAATTTTAAGAAAAAAGGATAGTTCTATGACAGAGTTGTTCACATTCCTGGAGAATAATGATTTGAAAGGTCATTATGGTTGACGCACTAGCTATTCCGGAAAGCAACACAATTTCTATTGCCTGCACAAAAAATATGAAAAGGAGAAGAAATAAAAATTACGTTAGAACCTCGCAGAGATCTATTTCATTTTATATTACTCTGGCATTTACCTGCTTCACTTCGCTTAATTGAATGTGAAGATTATAGCAAAAGTTATGACGCGCTTGTTATAATAACCATCCCCTGAATAGTCATTGTTTGTTATACACAGCATTTCTGTTTTTGACTAGCAAATTCCAAACTAGCCACTACATGAATCATGGCTAGCTGGAGCGGATGATCACATCACATCGCATCTGACTGGAGCTTCCTGTGGTTACTCGGTGCACAGAAGCATCCGCTGGAAGCCCAACCAATATAACTGCCCACAGTCCACCTTGGAAATTCAGGAGTCGTCAGCAAATGCCCTCATCTTATTCGGCTGAACAGTCGCATTCACTCATAAGTTTGTCACAACACATCCTTATAAGATCAACTATATTACATTAGTACCTCTTAAATTTGCGAGGGCTTCATCTTCTAGCTATTTCCCAGCCGCTCACTTCACTCTTATAAAAACTTCGCACATCATTCGTTTTTCTCATTTCATGTCAATTATCTCTCGTGTCTTAACCTTTTTATTTACTGCCTATTCCTTCTAACGGCAGGGTATGTTGCGAAATATAACTTCTATAATGCTGAGATATTTGCAAAACCCCGGACCGCAGGTGTCTGCGGTGGGGAACGAACGCGTTCTTGTCCTTTCCGTGGAATAACGTGTTCACCACTACACCGTCCGGGTCCTTAGTCATGCCTGTCTCTCAGCTAGTTCTATCGTTCTTTTGCCATCAGCAATCATCCCATCGATTGTGATTATAACTACAGCCTCAGCTTAACTGGGTTCAATGCCGATTTGGGTTCCCCAGATCAATCCCGTTGACAGGTAATTGCTGATGGCAAAAGATCGATAGAACTAGCTGAGAGACAGGCGAAACGAAGGATCCGCATAGTGTGGTGGTGAACGCGTTACTCACCGGAAAGGACAATAGCGCGTTCGTTCCTCACCGCAGACACCTGCGGTCCAGAGTTTTGCAGATATCTCAGCATTATAGAAGTTATATCTCTCGTGTAATCTTTGTGTATTAGTCGCGGTTTATTACTGTTGTGTATTCATGCTCAAAATGTTGACAAGAGGTTGAATTACCCTAGCTTTGAGTTGCTTCTGTACAAATGAGTGCAAGTCACGTGTGGCAATTACAAAATGGCTAGCATTCTAATCTGCTGACTAACCACACACTTGCATTGAATTTTTCGTTACGATGCTTTTAACGGTTACTCAAAGAGAACAGTATAAGTTTCAGCAACAAACGCACTGTAATGGACCATCGTCGTCCATCAACCGAATACGAACTCGATTCGGATGCATCGAAGGTTTGCTTGCTGGCACAGGAATCCGAATTGCCTACTGACTGGGTGCAGCAGCGGCGGTCATTGCAAGTAAGAGAGCAAAAAACTAAAAAGAAACGTTCCTTATAAATCAAAATAGGTTTTGCTTGCATTAGTTCCAGTTACTTAGCACGTGGTTTTATTATGATAGATTTTATCTGCTAAAGTTTGTGAAATCGTACTATCTAGTAGATAATGTGTTGACTGTAGTTGCCTAGAACCAATTTTTGACTATTTTATTGTAAGATATTATTGAGCGGATACACAGAATAGATTCCAATATCGACTTTCTATTAACCTCGGCATTGGAATGTGAATGTGTAGTCTTCTTGTTCAGCAAACGCGAGGTTTTTAAACAGCATACATTTACTTCCATAGAAAAACACTATACAATACAACGCTAGCTGACGTTTCGGCAGTATCGCCTTCTTCAGAGCCGCTTCTTCGTGACTTCCAATGAGGAAGTTTAGAACAGCTGATTATAGTCGCATGTGGTTGACGGCGAAGCTAGCGTTGTATTGTATTGTGTTTTTCTATGGAAGTACATGTATGCTGTTTAAAAAACTTGCGATTGCTAAACAGGAAAGCGACACACAGAATAGAATTTTTCACATATTTGAAAACATGAGGTTTTGCCCAGCGCATCTACCAATGTAGTAGAAATGGCCTATACTACACGGCGTTAGATCGGATGCCCCCATCTCAGTAAACCATTCATCTCTTTGAGATATTAAAATTAGTACCAGTCTTGTTTGGGAGGATAGCAGGACTAGTTTCATATATCGATAAGCCGCCATAAGTCATTCTACAAGCTAGATACGCGTTCAATCAGTTCTGTGATGCTTAATAAAGTCGAATACGATTCCTAGGAAGCAGATTAATCCCGGACTCTCTGTCGTCTTAACGTTGATAAACTTTTAAAATGCTTATATAAAACTAATGAATAATCAGAATATCTAAGTACTTATGGCGGGTGGATACCTTCTCGTTCATGAAATATTTAGATAGTAATTTTTTCAGCGAAAATCTGTCTAAATTCAATAGAAAGATTGCTGAAGGAACGTTACTTCCATAAAACTGCAACGATCACAAATTCAGTGTCAAACGTTGGAGGTATAATTATCGGAGACAAAAAATCTTGCCATGGCTACTGCACAAGGGATTGTCACAGCTTCGTGAGCTTTTGCCACACGAGGAATCTGCAACCCACAAATTGGCCGATCCAGTATCAAGTACCACCTAAAATTTGTCAATAAGTAAGAGTTAAGTGATTTGCCGCATTACTTGATCAATGGATTTGGAGATGGGTGAGCCCAAGAGTGTTACATCACTAATATTCATAAGTTGAATTGTGGTGTAAATGGCAACACATTTATTTTATGATGTGATGATAGCAAAGTCTAAAGGAAGCAAGCCAGCTTCGTCTTGAAATGTGTCGTAGATACCGCATACTGGTGTGCTCTTGTTTTTCTTGCGCATAGTAAAGATCTCACTCACACAAAGGGTCTCCTAGCCGTTGCCACTGCTACATCAGGTTATTAGAGGTGAATTGAGGAAATGAGCGCCTTGTATTTGCTGCGTTGCATTTATTTATAATTTGAAGTGACTTAATTAATCTATGGGAGTGTGTATGTCGATTGTGTCAAATACGTCGATTTTTCTAATGCACTGCAGTCAAGGAACAAAGAAGACGGGTCCTAACCAATAAATAGTTGTCAATTCCTAAACAAGATTTATCAGCCTTGCAATTTAGTAATAAGAACGCCTGGGTTCTTGTAGTCCTACCTATAAAAACTCTTTTGAATCACTAATCGATTAATAAAAGTGGATGATACAGGCGATGTAAAGGAAAAATCAATTACGAACTCGGAAAGTTTGTCCTGGTGTTCCAATGGTGATATTTCCAACATACTCTTCGTCTTCAAAATCGGTTACCTGCAAGACATCGTGAACAATGAATAATTATGGATTTAGTCCTTAGTAAAAATTTTCCATCCTTTTCTGGAAGACACTGTCTAAGTGATTTCCTTGTCATCGCGTGCTCGCGTGCTATACAAGGTCCAAGTGTAGCAAGAAAAGTTTCTTTTTTTTCTTTTTTCGTGGGATATTTGCAGTTTATTTTCTTCCAAACGGTAAACAATTATTTTTGCAATAGTCGATTAAGCTAGGATATCAAGAGAAAAGAGAGGCGCATGTTTTAGAGCGTTCGCTACACGCATGTCTTTAGTTGGGCTCCACTCTACGGCAAACGCACTGTCTGAAAAACCGTGCTGAACATGTATTAAAAGGACTTGATACCGGTAGACCAGCTTATTTGCTGAACAAGTCAAAATATGCATCCAGCCATCTCTAGCGATGCCTGATGAAGTCGAACACATGGCGCAACCAGAGCACTTAATCCTTCACTCTTCCACCAGAAGTAAAGCATACCCTTTGTGGAACGGAAACACCGTTCGTCATCATTGCTTTCGCGAATCGTGCGACGTTCTTCATCTGGACGTAGCGGGCCCAGGTGCCCTCGCGAATCATTTTCGTTCTCAGCGATTCGACCTTGACGAGAGGAATCTGATGTACACCAGCAAAGGTGCATCCCACCAGAGCAAAAATGAGCAACAGATAGGCACGCATCGTACTAAAAAGGAACGCCATTAGGTAGTCATCTTAGTGAAGGCGTTAAGTGAAGAGCTAATAACTAAATGTGGTCCGAGGAAAGAAACTATTGGAAAACCTGCAGATTTCTAGGAAAAGAGCAAGCGTGGGTAGAGAATGACAAAATCGGGCTCTAAATCTTATATTTATATTTATCGCAACCGTGATCAACTAGGCCTGATAGCGACAAAGTGTATTGGCTTCAACGATGAGCTGATAATCAGTTCTTTCTTTGAAAAAGGAGAGCGCTAGCACTTATTCACAAAGTCAACGAATTCTACGTTTACACCATCTTCAATTGAATAGCCTTTAAACTCATAAATATTGTTAGGTTACCTCTAAATGGAGAAAAGGATAGAATCCATCGAGAATATCTTTACAGAGAACAAAAACGAAGCGTGAGCTTGACAGAATAGGAACTTATTTCTCCAAAAGCTTGCTGCCTCATCTGTTCCAAGATATGTTCTTAAGTACGCTAATGCTATGGGTTTTTTTAAGACTCTAAAAGAACCATATTGTCAAGTCAGTAAAGTACCGGTTAAATTGTACTATGTCCTGTGGCTTGCCCAATAGTGAGACAGGGCATTCATGGAGAGACTAGGAACATTTAGCAAATGCATAGCAGTAGAAGTGAACCTCAACTACTTTTCAATCCATTATATTCTTAAAGAAAAAGATGACTTTGAATGGAAATATTTTATCTTGCTGTTAACAACGTTTGTCCCTTTAGCTACAGTAACTGATTGTTGAGACCTGATTCAATGATTCTTTCCGCCGAAAGATTTGTAAAATAGTGTGACTTGCAAGGCATGGAATGACGTAGAGATAAATTGAGAAAAAAGACTTAAGTACTTAATCCTCTTGTTGAACGCATCTGTGATAACATCAACACGAGCTGATAAAATGCCATGAGATGTATCACATGACAGGATTTAATGGTCTATCTTACTCGCTCGATACAGCTGCCACACTCACACTTTCTGAAGACTTTAGCAGAGAATGGGCGTTCTATTAATATTTAAAAACAGACAGAGGGCAAAAGTTTTCTGAATGCGTGGTGTCACATAAAATTCTATGAGTAACGCCTGTAAAAAAAAACCCGTGCCGGGACGACATGAATAGCTCTCAATGCTCGAACTGCCTGATAACTTGCTGTATATATTGCACAGTGCACACACAAAGATGATGCTCAAGCACTAGGAATAAAATATTGACCATTGTGAAAGCCACACGGCTCCGATCCTGGAACTCATAGAGGTTCAGCACTTCGGACAACATTTTCATGGCCAATAACTGTCGCAGAATTTCTCTACAGGTATAGGCCGGCGTTTTATTTTTGCCCTCATCGAGAAGACAACGTGTTCGATTGCGCAAAAATTGAAACGTGTCAAAAAGTTTTTGTTTTGCAAGATGCATTAGCGTAAAAAATGCGGAGCATATTGAATGGCAGTAGTAGGCTGACATTCGCTCTGTATAAGGAGGCACACTCGACTGAGATTCTTCATTCGATCAGTGTTCCACTGGATTCGACTCGATGCAACAGCGAGCAACCACACCGCAAAGAGGACTCCACCTGTGGATCATCGACTCTGATCCAGCCGGCTCAGCAGGAAACGAAAACGTCGAAATGTTAACTAAGTAAATCTTTTCATCTAACCTCAGCACGCCCAATTAATATGCAATCTTTATAAAAGCAGTATGAAAGAATGCGAAATAAGAAAAAGAGTAGAAAGGGCATAAAATTTATAACATCGCCATGAAGGGATACATATTGAATAGTCATGCACAGGCAAAAAGCACTCAAGCAAATTCGGCCGACGAATGAGCTTGATTCATTCAAAGGATGCTCCACTGGATTCGTCTTGATCCGATCAGGAACACCCACATCGGACGAAGAAAGAAGTACGGGCAATCAGCTCGGATCAATCCGACTCTGAAGAAAGCGAGGCGCTGAGACGTTAGCCGAATGAAGTTTTCAAAAACCTCGTATTAACATATCAGTGAAAGAATACTCATTGCTTTGTTTGGCAGATATTTCGACCATTTTGTCGCGAAATCGTCAGCCAACATTGAAGGAGCCTATTGCAAATAAGAATCTTGATCACCTTCAACTTTAGGGATTGTAACTTTTCTGGGACGAGGATCTCTTTAATCGATAAGCCGCACTGAAGTTTCCCCCCTCATTGACTCTGTTCGTCTCGTTATTTTTCACATTACGATTCTGCTGTCCTTAACTATATTGCATCGTTTGCTAGGATCACAATTCAGAACAACAGGGTGGAAAACTTCTTCACCACTTCTTCGTTCTAATAATTCCAGTTCCATTTCCTGACATCACTTTTTAAAACGATGGGTTCAGAATACATTCCGACTACTTCATCGAGAAATTGTCGGCTAACATGCTGCACAGAAGTTTCTCCCTCATTGACTCTGTTCATATTGGCTGACGAGTTCGCAAAGCAGTAGCCGAAATATCTTCCAAACCTGTCGTCTCAAGAAGTGATGTCGAGAAACGGAACTAGAATATAATTACTATAAGGCTGAGACATTTGCGAAACTCCGGACCGCGGGTGGCTGCGGTGGGTAACGAACGCGCTATTGCCCTCTCCGGGGAGTAACGGGTTCACCACCACACCATGCGGGTCTTTCGCTTCGCCTGTCCTTCTGCTAGTTCTATCGATCTTTTGCCATCAGCAATCACCCGTCAACGGGATTATGCAAATATCTCAGCATTATTGTAGTTATATTTCGTAAAATACCCTGCCGTTAAAAAGAATAACCGGTAAATAAAAAGGTTATGATTGTGATTATAACTATAGCCTTAGCTTAACTGGATTCAATACCGATTTGGGCTCTCCAGATCAATCTCGTTGGCAGGTGATTGCTGATGGCAAAAGATCGGTAGAACTAGCAGAGAGAGAGGCGAAACGAAGGACCTGAATGGTGTGGTGGTGAACGCGTTACTCCGCGGAGAGGACAATAGCGCGTTCGTTCCCCACCATAGACACCTGCGGTCTGGAGTTTTGCAAATATCTCAGCATCATAGTAGTTATATTTCGCAAACTACGCTGCCGTTAATAAAAGAATAGGCAGTAAATAAAAAGGTTAAAAATAGAACTGGAATAGCTTGAACGAAGAAGTAGTATGAAGTAGTGGAAGAGCCTTTCCTGCCTGTCGTTTTGAAGTGTGATCCTTGGAAACGAAACTGGAATATAGTTAAGGATAGCAAAATCGAATTGTGAAAAAGGACTCCTCGCTTTGTTTACTGTAAGCCTTCCAGTTATTTGATGGAGCATAGCGGTCTTACATAGGTAAGGAATGTGCCAGACTTTGATCAAAAAAATCAGTCTGAAGTAAGGCGCGATGTCCTAGCGATAACAAGGCACTTCTGCTTAAGGTTCATTTTTGGATTTTTGGAATTTGCTGAACACGTCAAATTGTCGAAAGTAGGGTGGACTAAACACATAATACGTATGAAAGACAACCGATGGGCATCAGCCGTTAGTGAGTGGATTCCTCAGGATGTGAAACGTATTCCGGGAATAGAACCGACTCGTTGGTCGCAGTCGTTCACTAATATTCTTGAAGGAAGTTGTGATATATATATCTCCCAATGGTTTACCGCCTGACCGTGGCTAGGAGGTGTTCCTGGGTGTTGGGCCGCGATGTGTAGTGGGGGATTTATCCCCCCAGTGGAGTCTCCCAAGTTGAGAAAGAGTCCGGCGTTTCCATCAGGAAGCCTAGCTAAGAGTAAACCAATACTAGGATCTACCACCGTCTTGGTATCAAAGTCGCATGGTGGCAAATCTCCTTCTGATCAACAAGGGCTGACATTGCCTGTGGTGGTCAGGACCTGGGGCAGACATTGGCTAGGCTGACCGCGAGACTTCAGGGAACCGCAGTGGACAAACCAGCAAAACTCCAAGAAAAAAATGGAATTTATGCTGGGGTCTACACAGTCAGTGTAGGAGGACCGTTAAAGTATCAAGTATATATACATTTATGCATATATACCTCGGTTAGGTGATCAGATAAGTCAATGTAACGCTGTAGGAAAACACAGCCTTTAGTCCTACCACTGAGTCCAACCAGCAATCCTCTGGTTAGAAGTCATCAGTTACACGCCCTATCCATTAGGTCACGCTAACCACGCAAACAGCGTTGTCGCTGGGGATGGTGCTTGTGAAAATCGAACGCTATCAGAGTCGCATTTGCAAATTCCAGAGCGGAAATCAAACGTACTTCTTAATACATAGAAGCTCGCTTCCTCATACTCGAGCGTTTTCAAAAGCAAGCCCGCGGCCGGGGTTGAACCGGCAATCTTCTGATTAGAAGTCAGACGCCTTATCCATTAGGCCACGCAGGCCACGTAGTCGACGGAGTCGTAATATCGCCACGAGGGCTGGTGCGTTCGAAAAATGTCAGGAACTGTACCCAACTAGCATATTGTGCGTCTTCAAATACCAACCCATACCTCAGTCAGAGAGGTAGTTTTATTGTAAAAGGAACGACACCTTATCCACTAGTCTTCAAATTTTTGACTTAAAAATCATATCTGAATGTATACGTTTTACACAACCGATTAATTGCAGAGTTTTCGCTAATCGTCAATCCATCTGTAATGTTCAATGCATTCAGCTTGATTAAGCGTCGTTAGAGGTGTCCCTGTGCCTATTTGCTCTTCCTAATGATTTCCGGTGAAATACCGCTCTATTAAGTCGGTGCTACTATCGTGTCAAAGAAGTCTGCTACTAAATCTGGAGGCGGATTATGTAATAAGAACAAGCAGCAGTGGGCGCTAAGAAATATGGAGTGCTATCTAGAAGGAAGCATTTACGAGCCAAGGAAATCAGTGTAAGATGTGCCGGTGTCCATTCAGGCAGTGAGAGGACGTGCCGTCCAAGTGTCTAGTTGAGTATGTATATATATATATATGTATATATATATATATGTATATAAGTATATATGTATATATATAT